GAATCATTTAAGTAACCATCTAGAACATTTGGAGACTGTGGTATTGTAGTTAAATAAGCTGTATGTACTATGTAAAGATGATCAGTTTTCAAAGACTTTAAAGTAGAAATGCCTTTTATTATTATTGTTTAATATTATTACCACTGCAGTAAATTACTATTGTTTTTCATGGTGAAGTACTATAAATATGTGATAAGAATAGGAAATTAAAATGATTAGATGTTGAACCTATATGATGCATTAGAGTTTACCTTTTTAATTAGTGGGTGTTTATTTACCTGTGCAATAATGTGTTATCTCAAAATATGTGCTTAACGTGACCACCTTCTAAGCAATTATGTTGTTTGGATTCTGAATAAGTAGTAGTTAAGCATAGAAAGAAAAATGCTAATAAAATAATCACTGACATTCATTTGTTATTTGCCACACCTAACAACCCATCAGACACAAAGTACTATTATCTCCATTGTATAGATGAGAAAACAAGCACAGAGAGGTTAAGTGACTCACCCAAGTTCACATGAGCAGGCTGTGACAAAGCTTGCTTTTGAACCCAGGCAGTCTAGTTTTTGAGCTAATACTCTTAATCGTTATTTGACTTTAAAATTCATTTTAGTACAGTTTTGTGGACAGAGGAGCCATGTTAAAAGTATAGTAAAAAAGTGGAAAAAGAACATGATCAGATTCTGAGCTGAAGTTAATAGTGCCTTGAATGCATCCCGTTTTCCTGGGTATAGAGGCTAGGCTTGAAGTTAATCCTTCCTACTAACCACAACTATCCTACTTTCCCCAAGGTAAGTGTTGGTTCTGGTGCAATTAAGGTGCCTCATGATGAAACAGCATCTGAATTCTTTGAGCTTATTTATTTTGGTACCATTTAAACAACATTTGCTTTGACTGAGTTTTCAAGTAGGTCTTGCCTTCTACAAATTGGCTGCTTTCTAGAAACTGGGAAGTGTTGTGTTACAGGGTCTTCACAGCAGTGGTCAGTGACAACATTGTGCAGTTTTTTAGGTGAAGGTTGTAGGTGAATTTGGCTGCACATCATGTATATATGAATCCTTATTTCAATTTCATTTTGCTTGCTGCACAATGGTGATTTATTAAGTCTGAGTTGCAAAATGTTACAAAATTTTTATGAATATAATCAACTTTTGATTATCTTTGTACACATAAATAAATAACAATTTTTTATAAACTGAAGATGATTTGTGTTTCATTCGGATTGTTTCTAAACAAACGCGTTTCCATATGAGTGGAGCTGATTGTCCAGGCATTCAGACACAAGATTTGAAGACATATTGATGAGAAAGAGATGAAAGATAATCATCCTTTTCCATATCTGACTCTCATGTTTTATATTAAGCAACAACTCAAGCAGAGAGCCTATGGCCCTGTGGGAAGTGGTTGAGTAATTTAGTTTACAGAGCTCCTCTTTGATGATAGCCCAAGTTGAGGGCTAGAGGTATGAGAAAAACTTAAAAAAAAAAAAAGAAAAGAAAGCTATAGTGAAAGCATCAGCAAAGGCATTTATAAGTGCTAATATCAATGGTATTAAGACTGATTTGCATAAATAATGCCTTTCCTTGCCTGGGCTTAGTCTTGTATATAATTAAAAGTTGACTGTGGTATTCGATTGCAAAAAGGAAACATATTTTAAGTATTCAGCTTAATAAATTACTAAATGATTGAATACTATTATAGGACTTTTCTCATTTTGATTTGATTAATAATTAATTTTATTATCTCTTAGTACTTTAATCTCCAAAGCAATATTTAGATTAAAGTAAATTTTCATTTGGTTTTTGTAAGGTATGTGAATGGCCATGCAAAAAAACATTATGAAGATGCACAAATACCCTTAACCAACCATAAGAAAGCAGAAAAGCAAGATAAAGTTCAACATACAGTTTGTATGGATTGCAGTAGCTACAGTACATACTGGTAAGTTAATATTTTCTGGAAATGACATTTCTTACTATGTGTGTGCAAGTATGCTCCTACTTTCCTTTCCCTCTTCCCTTCCCTTTCCCAGTCTCTAAGATAGTTGCTACCGCATTACCTCCTTTTAGTCCTGCTGGGATTCACAGGGACTGGAGCCATCGGGAATGCCTGTCTTTGTGCATTTCGGATTTCACTTTGCAGTGTTCCTTTAGACTTCGAGGCCGCCTCTTCTCTCCCACACCCTCCTCCTTGTCCATCCCCGTAAGTTTTGGGGAAATACATCTATTTCTTTCTTGTTCATTATAGTTTCTTTTCTTTTTCTTGTGTTATTTTTAATTGAAGAACAATATGATAAAAACTCATGTTCCAAAACAAAACCCATGTTCCTACTGTCTAGTTAACATTTGCCATATAATCTTAAAAATTTTAACTTCTCTGTTTACAAAATTGTTTTGACAGTCTCCCTTCTCCCAGTACAGTTCTGCTCTCCTCTTCTACTCCCCCAGAGGTAAATGTCAAAAATTTGGGTGTATCCTTTCAGGCTATTTTTTTTTTTTTTAGGTATCTCATCCTTTAAAAAGAGGTTGGAGGCCCTGCTTTTCTCTTTGTAATATAATATACAGACCTGTTTAATATAAATGACAAGAAAATGAGTGTTTTTGTGACAACTTTGAACTAGGTATTTTGGTTACAAGTGATGTTTAACGATCCATATCCATTTGATATGCTCAGAAAGTAGTATATTTTTCAGTTTTACCTTTGGTGTGAAGCAAATTCATTTCTTTGACTAGTAAATATGATGAATAATTCTTGTTTTAATCAGTTTACCCTCAATTCAAATGCTTGTTGACATTGAAGGGAAAAAAAAACCCAAGCCATTTAAAAGATCCCTTTGGAGATATTTTTTCTTGCCAGACAGCTCTTGAATGTCACATGAAGGCAATTGCTGGACAGAGATGGGGATTTAAAGTCCAAATATCACTTTAAATTCATACTTTCTACTGAAGTGGGATGCTACTTCTTCCTACATTGTCCTTAGTTGATAGTCGTATTGGAGAAAGATGCCCATCAAAAGGAGGGGAAAAAAAGGCCAGTGGTTTGCCAGGTCTTTTAAATTTTTACGGGTTTAATGTTATTAAATTCTGGCTGTTGAATAAACATTTTAAAGTTTAGTCATTCGGATCACCACTGTTTCAGTGATCCTTTGCGTGGAAGGTGTCCAGACCTAGAAGAGAGAGAAGCTGGAGGTAGATGGAGATTTCGTTAAAAATGAAAATCCTCCCAAGATTTTCACACAAGGGTTAGTGCTCAGTTTATTGTTATTTGCTATTGTGAAACACTCCTTTCTACCAAAGTTAAGCATTAGCCAGGCGGTTAAAGTGTTTTCATTAGTTTTTTCCCTTTTCCCTCAAGAAACTTATATACTAGAATGATAACAGAACCATGTATTTCTGTGTGTTCATGAGTATTTCTGCTTTAGGCAGCAGAAATTAATATCTCACAGTCATTGTCGTAGGTCATGTCAACCTGTACGTACAAGATATTGAGGAAATTCATTCTTCTTGATTTTCGGTTAGCAGTGTGCATGAATTGCTTATTGGGGGACTTTGGAAATACAATTAAATCTTTATGTGCTATAACAAGTTTGCAGTTGCTTTTCTTGCTGTTGGTAAGATTCTAAAGAAACTAACCTCAAGGAAATTTTAAGAATTATCTTAATAGAGTAT